TCTCTCTCTCTCTCTCTCTCTCTCTCGATGTATAACCTATGCGTACGACTGCTATCCCAGGATAGCTTCCATAGCATCCACGCGACCAGGATCATTCGCTAGTAATGCCTATTCCGCGGACAGGGTCGGTTTAACCCTTTCGCCGCTAAAGATGCATGCGTGTGCCGTTGAACAACGATAAAGGGGGGGTAAAAATTTGACATTTTTGATACGTACTGTGAATTGATATAAATTGACATCTCGAATTTATAAGATAATCTATCGAAATATAGCCAAATAAAATGCAATTTAAACGTTACACTTAATTACCTTCTGCGAAATTTTTTCGTTTCTTAAAATGAGAAAAACAGTTTACAGCTTCTACCCTGACGAAAACGCTGAATAATCCCGTTTCTACGACGAGAATACCTGCCGCCACTGCGACGCAATGTCGGAGGAAGATTAAGTCGTGCCATAAGTTATTCATCGGACCCGAGCGGTTTTCGCACGGTGCATCGCGCGTTTCTAATTCACTCGCGGCGCGATCCAAGCCTACGCAGCCAGCGTGCGATCGAAATGAAGGAGAAGGGATCCACACGGCGAATCCGTGTCTGCCTTTTTCCTCTGTGCATAATACAGGTGCAGGACAGATAGGACAAGATCTCCACGATGATATTGGAACGAGAACGAGCGAGCGAGAGGGGTAACACCACCAGCAGAGCAAGGCGAATCCGGCAGAGGAGGAGAGGAGGGGTTGAGAGCAGAGGGAACGAGAGAGAGAGAGAGAGAGAGAGGGACGGTAAAGAGGGGATAGGAGGAGAAGAGGGCATAGAGCAGCTGAATAGGAAGCGACACAATGGACCTGGGTGGCTGTGGAGGCGTGTTATCAAATGGGTTCCTCATTCACATACTGCGGCCTGAGCTACCTGTGTCTGTCTGTACCGGTGTCTGTCTGTTATACTTATTCATACCGCCCATTGTGTCCTCCACTGTTGAGTCGAGTTCAGTTCAGTTGAGAACGCGATGGAACGTGCCACAATGCACGAATATGGGCTGCGCCGCACCTCCTCCCCTCCCCCGCCCTCTCTCTGCACCCTACCGCGCACCCCCTTGTCACCGTGTCTCTTTCTCTCTCTTTGCCATTTGCCACCCACGGTCCAACCCGCGCGCGCGTTGGATTCGTCGGGGCCGACTGAAAAGAAAATTGCGTCGGGAAATTGTATCCGTGAGAAAACCCGACCGATAATGCCGAGTTCTTGAAGCGTACACGTCGCGAGATTTCTCCGCCCCGGCGACGACGGCGACGACGGCGACGGCGGCGACGACGACGACGACGGCGGCGGCGGCGGCGACGGCGGCGGCGGCGACGGCAGCGACGGTGGTCGTCGAATCCTGCTACCGAATCGTCTCGTTAAACGAGCGCGCGAGTTTCCGCGGGGGTCGATCGATGGCCCAACGTGAATCTCGTCCGGAATTCCGGGATGCACATGATATTTGCCGGCAATTTCAACGGGAAATTACCGCGACGCGATAGTCGTTACAGGCGATAAAGCGAAGCTAAGATTGTACGAACGAGACCTTGGGGAAGGGTCAACGTAATCCCCGCGCTATCCAAGAGTATAATCTCATTTACCGCGATGCAGTTTACCGCCCGAAGCGGATTCCAATTTTAAGAGAGAAAAAAATCTGTTATCGTTGTTCCATACTTTACCTTGAGTAAAGTGCGAGATAACATTGAAACTTACTTGCGAAATTAAAAAGTTGCACAAAGAAACCGTCCCCAAACTGATTTTATTGCCTCTGACAATAGAATGCTTAAAGGAGCAAAATCGCTAATTTCATTTTTTTAGAGAAAGCTTTTGAGAGACGGCCCGTATTACGTGGCGCGCTATCAACCTGTGAAAGGGATGAAAGAGAAATCTGAATTACGGAACCGGCAGCATTCTCTGTCGCGAGGGTATATTGCCGAAAAACGACAAGCCAGGGAGGAGAATCTTGAGAGAGAGAGAGAGAGAGAGAAAAAAGAGGGGGAGAGGGAGGGAAAAAGGACGTGCAGACTCGTACGTTTCTTGTCGCGACTGCACGACGTGGAAAGAGAAAAGAGAGAACGTAATACGTATAACGCGTATAAGCGGCCATAGGGCCTGGATGAGCCGCTCGCGGACGCAACGGCATACAAAACTCGCTCAATACGTCATTCAGCCGAAGAATACGCCTCGTTCTCGCCATTTTGCTCCCAGAATGAGAGTTTCAAAGGGAATTAAGGATTCAAAGGCATCTTTTGCGCGGCGCGCATAAAACGTCCAGCCGCCGCCGCGGCTCCGCGTCGCTCCGTCTCTCTCTCTCTCTCTCTCCCTCTCTCGCTCCCTCTCCCGCTCGTTCTTTCTCTCTTCTTATCTAACTTCCGTCTTTCCCTTTTCTCCTTCTATAACTCCTCGTAAGCGTCGCCTTCGTTTCTACAACGTTCTCAAGAGGAGCCGTGAATCGACGAAGTGCTGAATCGCACGTCGAGTCGCACCAGCGAGATACCCACAGAAGGATGCTAAATCGTTCAACGGAGTACCTGGCCCGTATTTCCCATATACACGCTTGCGACAAATGTGTCTGGCGGATCTTCACTCCACGTTGGACGCACACCTCACCCGGAGCAAACAAAGCTTGAAACGACGCAAAGATTTTCAACGCGCGGGTTTTTGCTCGAGAAACGAAAGAGGGAGATGCGGTCCAGTGTCTCCCACGCGTTTTTGCGCCATCGTTCTCATAATTTAATATTTCGACGCAACTTCTCTCATAAATATTATAACTACAGATTATTTAGCGAATAAATAAAGCGAACAAGCGGCACTAGAATCCCCTATTCACGTCACCGTTCAAATAGCCGGTCAATTCCCAAGCAGCCCCAAATCTGTCCGCGCTTATCCAACGAAAGGGGGGAAAAAAAAGGAACGCTGTCGGATCGCCCTTCATATTTAACGTGGAGTTCGGTCAAAAAATATGACCCCGCGCACACGCACCCTCGCGATCCCCCCCCTCCGCGAGATGACCTTTTCCATTTACGGCGTTCGCGCGGAACAAATTCGGGCGGCGATCGCTATTTGCGCTACAAGATAACAAAAGGAGGGGTGGCAGTCGTCCCGCCTGTCTAGGATTGCGCGATTAACATAAAAATGCGGCGGCTCGTAAAAGG